CGGCTCCAGGCGTCGGTTGCGCCTCTCCAATCACCGGCTCGGAAAGCTCGCAGTCCTTCCTCCCTCACATTGTCTTCTGAGGTGGGATTTTCATCGCTGGTCAGTGTGGCATCAGCGCCGCCCTTGTGAAGGTCATCAGCCTCATACGGCAGCGACGAGGATGAACAATGCATCCCGCTGCTAGTGGCGCTGGCGTCCTTAATCTCGCTAATAGGGGCAGAGGGCTCCATTGTGGCACACTATTCGGGGAAGTACGCGAAAACGAGGAGTTCCTGTCCTTCAGAAAAGGGAAAAAAAGTCTGGTGTACACTAGGCACTATGGTGCCTCCGGGACGGCGAGTTTTTTTATGTCTTCTAGTTAGCAAGCAGCGCCACTCCCAGGAGCATGCACGCCGCACCGGCAAGAAATCGGAGGCTCAGATACTCTCCGAGGAGCAACCCAGACAAAAGAACAGAGCAAAGGAAGTTCGATGCAAAGACTGCGACGCTGCTGCTGCCAGCTGACGGTGCAACTAGAAGGGACTTGACATGGAAACTGAGCATAAGAGCGTTGCATGCGAGCATGCTCCCGAAGAGACACACGCGCAGGAGCAGCACAACGCAGAAGAAACAGGAAACGGCACCTAAAGAGATTTCCCCCCGTACCCCCTCNAAACTGCGCAGAGCCGCAGTCCGCATCGCTCTGCAGTAGCAGCACGTCTTGTTCGACGGGTAGAGTGGGACACAGCCAATGCAGAAAGGATTCTGAGAACTGCTGAAATGGTTCGCCGGGTGTGAAGCTACAGGCTACCTTTCCTAAGACAGATGCTGTAGCGGCGAGAAATCCCGTAAGACCCACAAGCTGAAGGAAGCGCAAACGACGGAAAGGGGAGCCTGAGGCGGCGGAGACGTCAGCAGCAGCAGCAGCACTGGTAGCACAACCAGCAGGAGAAGATTCGTGTTGTTGAATGCCACTAGGCGTAACAGTTGAACGCGCAACGGCAGAATGTGCTGGTTTAAAGGAAGCGGACGCCACAGCCTGGCCTTCACTTGCCCTACGACTGTGGTCAGCAGTGTTTGGCCCTACCATCGCTTCACCGCGGGTAACGAAGAGGCCCTGCTGCTCCTTCACCAGCAGTAAACAAAACAAGTGTTAAAACCGTAGGAAATTGCTGGCCCTCCGATGTCTGCNTGCTCCTTCACCAGCAGTAAACAAAACAAGTGTTAAAACCGTAGGAAATTGCTGGCCCTCCGATGTCTGCTGATTGCCTCGGAAACAGGTCCTGCAGACAGCGCGTGAGACAGTACAAGAGCCGGCTGGGGCTGGCGCCCTGGAGCCCATGGAGTTTGCAAATTGCTCGTGCAAATAATGGTAGATAAATTAGAATGAATTAAGCATAAATGTCAGTTTGCTCAGTTATATGTAGACTAGTTACCGATGAATTCCCTTAGCTAGCATTGGCGGGGGGCCAGCGACGTTCGACTGGTGGCTCGAGATGGCGTCGCGGATGTTGAAGACGTGTTGGTTTCTGTATCTGTGGCACTTTCTGCTGAAAAATTGTAGAGATTACATTCAGTTCCTCATGCTCATCTATTCGTGGAGGTGTCTAGAGTATCTTCGCGGTGCGTTCACTCCGGCTTGATGCGTAGATGCTGACTAGCTGATCTTCGCCCCGAGTGTTGAATCACGGCCTCGCTGAAGTTGTTATGCGCATGTGTTTGGCAGGTGTCTACATTCTTACTGTATGCACCTTGGGGGCTCGGTGTAGTGTGGTCTGGCTGCAGTAAGGACAGAAACACCCACATGGCCTTAATAAACATATTGCCTGCAAACAAACGCAAACGCTCCGTATGTGTATAGAGAAGTAGCGCAAGAAGCAAGGGAAGTTTCGTTGAGGTTTCCCTGTGCTCACGCATGAGGCTCGCTTGCATCGCCAGAGGCGGCGAGGTGCACTGCAACTCCGCTTAGGCTACCACACCGGCTGCAACCGCAGGCCCTGAGGTGAGGTGAGCGCCCAGGATGCCGGGGGACGGGAGACAGAGGCCAGCTGCGTTGGGAAGCTCTTACGTCAAGCCTCTGGCTTCATTGCTGCTCACATTAGTTCTTGAATAGGGCCGGAAACCACATTTTACACTTGGGCGCGCTTGCATTGGCTTCCAGCGCGAGCTGCAAAACGGTGTACTGCAACTCATGGTAAGCCGACTCGTCTGAGCGCCAGTCCCAGGCCCTTGGGCCGCACTGTACTGAACATTGAAATAGCGCATTTGGGCACAATCCGATGTGGCGAAGGGAACTGTTGGGGGTCGCGCACCTGCGCCGATTTCAAAACGCTTAACCACACCACGGTGAAACGAAAGTGTCCGATGACCCGGATCGACGGAATTTTTAAGCGGTTGAGGTTTTCTGCAGTATACTCACCACTGGAGAAAGGGTTAAGACTACGTGTAATTCTTGCACGTGCAAACTATAGTGTACCTGCATCCCCTTTCGGCCCTGAAGAGCTGCAGTGACAAGCTAACTACGATTTTTTGGGGGCCAATCAATGAGAGATGGGATGTTTATAGCTGAATGGCGTACTTGCTCCAATGTGGCGAGGTGCTCAGCCATTGCTCGCCTCCCCGCTGGAGGGCAGATCCTGACTATCTTCAGTGTGTTGCAGAAGAAGAGGGCTGAAATTTTGACGAAGATCTTAAGGCTGTAACATTGCTTGGGCGAAGCTAGCATCTGTGTTCGTACTTGGGTGCAGGCAGGCTGGCTACTGGGAGTCAAGCAAGCGCTCAACAATCGTCTATCGGGTTAATGCATGCACCACTAGGGCTTGGCTTTACATGTATACGGAGTTACGTTGCAGCACGAGTTGCAGCAGGGGGACGCTGCAACTCCTGATAGGGTGGCGTTTGCCGCTTGCACTTGCCCGGACGAATCATGCACGGTTTCGAACATAGCTCAGGAGAGTCGTGAACTGCTACACAGCCAACTACTTACAATAATAAGTTAGAATATGCCGCAGACCTACCCTGCCGTCTCCAGGCGGCGCGGGAACAGTGGCCTCAGAAGCACAGCGGCCTTAGGACCGGGAGCTGTTGCGGATCGGATCGGTGTTTGCCGGCCATGCAGTGTGAATCAACTCCTGCTGCAAAGTAACATCAAATGTACTCACGCCAAAAGCTTCATTGCCTGCGTGCGTTACCATTGTAAACAATTTACAACCACTTAGCTAGCCTTGAAAAGCGGGCCTACGCCGAAGAAGTACATGCGCCGACTTGCGGCAGAGAATGCTAAAATTGAGGACAATCGTTACACAACTGCTAAATCAGGAGCTCAGAAGCAGTTGTGTGTGGAACTAGATGGCCTCCTTATGACAAACTAGCATGTACAGCGTTTACTGGGAAAAGTTTATCTGGTGTCTAAAACTACCTTGTACACATGGCAGCGATCGCACCTCGCGGTACTTCTGGCCGAAACGTATGCGANGTGTCTAAAACTACCTTGTACACATGGCAGCGATCGCACCTCGCGGTACTTCTGGCCGAAACGTATGCGAGTACTGTTGGTGGGGCTTTTCGGGGCCGAAAACCGGAACAGACGAGCTGAATAATAAGATAGTAAGAAAAACAAACGTTTTCCTATAGGCATGGGCAAATGGCAACAACTGGCAAGCTGTGCAGCCGCCACGATGTGGGAGCCCGACGATGATGGCAGCTGGTGAAGTGCACATGTCCGTAGTGTGTTTGCGTGCACTCTTATGGATTATACTTCCTTTTTTCCTTTTTTTTCCTGTGCTTAACAAAAGCAGAGTACGGTGTTTTTGTACAATTCATTCCACAGGTCCCACTGGCCTGTTGGGATGACGCGCAGGGCCGTAGGTTTTTTTGCTCGCTGCGTGAAGTTGCATTGGGTTGGAGTCCTGGGGCTGCTAGCCGCGGAAAGCATCTGTTTTTGTTCATCATTTCTTGTTTCCTCGTCTTTGACTTGTTCAGAACGGGCGTTGCGACAGAATCTAGCGGCGCTAACCGCAGCCCGCTTGCCTGTCAGCGCTGTGACACTTTCCCCCCATCGGGCAGCTTCGCTGGCTTCGGCGCGTAGGTCTCTGCTCGTGCGTTTCCTCTCGTCTACTAGTAAAGAACGAGATCAGTCAGGAGTCATTCACTCCACTGGCCGTAGCGCGGCAGCTCTAGAACGATCCGCTGCAACGCGTAGAGGGGCGGTAGCTTCTCCAACTTTCGCGAAGATGTCAGCGGTGCTTTCACCTGGTGATAGTGCTGGTGGAGAGGGACTCCACTGGGCTCCTAGCAATGCAACCGGCACGCTAATTTTCATGCATGGCTTGGGCGACACTGCCGGGGGCTGGACAGAGCTGCTGCAGCTGTTTGAAGCTGCACAGATACACCAGAACACGCGGCTGATCCTTCCCACAGCCTCGACGCGGCCGGTGACTCTCAACATGGGGGTTCGTATGACGGCGTGGAGCGATATTCGTGGTCTATCTGCAGATGCTAAGGAGGACAAAGAGGGCCTGATGGCTAGCAAAGCTCGGATTGACAAGATAATTGAGTCAGAGATCAAAGCAGGCATTGATCCTTCGCGCATTCTCGTTGGAGGGTTCAGTCAAGGCGGAGCTCTGGCATATTTAGTTGGGCTGACATCTGAGCACAAGTTGGGGGGCATCATAGCGCTCTCTTCGTGGTGTCCTCTGGGCAAGGAGATTGAAGTCTC